TGTCCGCGACCTGCCCGCACAGCGCCTTGCCCGCCGGGCCCGTCTCCTGCACGTTCTGGGCGATGAAACCCAGCGTGCGCTTCTGGTTGCCCTCCGTGCGCCGGTACCACTGCGGCGTCACCGCGCTTGACGATGACCTCGCCGTCGTTGGCCCCGCCCGTGTTCGCCTCCACGATGAGGTTGGCCTGCCCCGCCGAGGAGGTGCGCAGGAAGATGGCCTGGTTCGGCGCGAAGAGCTCCACGCCGCCCGCGGAGGAGGCCGTCAGCAGGCCCTCGCCGGAGCCGCAGGCCACGCGCAGCCGCGCGTTGCCCGCGGGCGCCAGGTTCACGGCCTCGGCCGTGACGTTGCCGCTGTTCGCGGTGGCCACCACTTGGAGGTCCCCCTGCGCCTGCACGCCCGTGCTGCCGCCGATCAGTTGCAAGTACGCGGGGGCGCTCACGATGCCGTTGTCTGCACGGATGGCGCTGGCGGTGTAAAGCACCGAGTTCAGGTAGGTCCCCTGCGTTCCGCCCGTCAGCGTCAAGTAGTCGTCGGTGGGCCTCGCCCGCACCGTGGGCGCCCTCAGCTCGGTGGAGAGCTCCACGCTGCCGGAAGTCACGGTGCCCTGCACGTCCAACGCCCCGTTCACCACGGTTCCGCCCGAGCCGCCGGTGATGGTCAGCTGGGTGTCCTGGACCCTCGTGCTGATGGCGTTGGTCACGAGCCCCGTGGCCGTGCCCGTGGCGTCGTCGATGTACAGCTCCGTGTCCACCCGCAGCCTCGGGGCCACGCTGTGCACCTCGGCGGAGGCGAAGGTGCAGAGGCTCTGGTCACTCTGGTCGGTGACGCGCACCGAGACGGTGCCCGCCTTCAGGTTCAAAAACTGGTCGGTGGGCAGCAGGGGCTCCACGGTGCCCGCCTGGATGCTGCCAGCCGTGGCGATGCCGAGGCCGCTGTCCGCGAAGATGCGGCCCGCGGTCAGCATGTTGACGCCCGCCTTCAGGCTGAAGAGGCTCGAGGACAGGTCGGCCAGGGCGGCCCCGCTGGAGGCCTCGAACTCGAGGCCCAGGCTGCCGCCCCGCAGCGTCAAGAAGTCGGCGCCGTTGGCCCTGACGTCGTTCACAAGCAGCGGGTCGGCCGGGGCGGCCCCCGCCAGGGCGTACCTCGCGTCCGACTCGGCCTTGGAATACGCGTCGCATGTGAGCTGCGCCGTGGCGGAGTTGCCGAGGATGAGGTTCGCCCCGAGGGGCGCCTGGAGCAGCAGCGCGCGGATCATCCTCGGCGTGAAGTTCTCCAGCACCATGGGGATGATGCCTCCCCCGCCGGCGTTGCCGTTGACCACGTGGTACCTCGAGTCCAGCGGGGTGAAATCGGTGTTGGAGAAGTACCTTCCGTCCGACTCGCTCTTGGAGTAGGCGTCGCAGGTCAGCTGCACCGTGGCCGAGTTGCCGAGGATCAGGTTCGCGCCCAGGGGCGCCTGGGGCAGCAGCGCCCTGATCATTCGCGGCGTGAAATTGTCCAGCACCATGGGGATGATGCCTCCGCCCCCCGCGTTGCCGTTGACGGGGTGGTACCTCGCGTCGCCCTGCGCCTCGGTCAGGAGCCCCGAGGAGCCGATCTGGCTGGCTATCTCCGCCGAGGTCTCGCCCTGGTCCCAGTAGTTGGTCAGCTCCGAGGCGATGGAGCTGTCGACGTCGGCCTGCGTGGCGTACTGGGATACATTCAGCGCGTCCACGGCGTTGGAGATCCGCGCGTTCACCTCGGCCTGGGTGTACGTCTGGCTCTGGTCGTAGGCCTGGCACTCGATCTGCAGCGTGTTCCCCGAGTTCTGGAGCGTGGCCACCAAAGGCCCGGCGAAGTGCAGGTTCCGGAGCGCCTGCCCGGTCAGCAGCTCCCAGGTCGTGTTGCCGCCCCAGCCGGGCGCGTTGGAAACGGCCGCGCCCGCGATGAGCGCGTCCACCTGCGCGGAGTCGTAGTAGGACGCGAGCGCGATGGCGATCTCGTTCAGGATGGGCGCCTGGAGCCCGGTCCAAGGCACGTAGGCGCTCAGGTCGATGCCGCCCACGGCGGAAGCGATGGCCGCGTCCGTTTCAGCGCTGGTGCAAAACGCCGCCAGCGCGGCCGTGATGGCCCCGTTGGTCTCGGCGCTGGTGTAGTAGCCGCCCAGCGTGGCCAGCACCCAGGACTCGCTGGCCTTGGGCGCCAGCAGCGCGTCCGCCTCGGCCTTGGAATAGGCGTCACAGGCGAGGCTCAGCGTGAAGTTATCGTTCTCCAGGGAGACGCTCAGGGGCGCGCTGAAGTGCCAGTTGCGAATGGTGTTGGTGCCCACCAGCAGGTCCCAGGTGGTCTGTCCGGGCCACGCCTGCGCGTTGCTGAGGTTCGTGCCGCCGCCCGTCGTGAGCGCGGCCAGCGCCGCGTTGATGGCGTCGATGGCCGACTGCAGGCTCGTCTCCGAGGCCGAGAGCTGCGCGAAGGTCGCGAAGGGGCCGGCGCCCTGCAGGGCCAGAATCTCGGCCTCGTGCCCGTCCAGGCGCGCGTCCCTGACCGCGAGCAGGGCGCCGTGGCCCGCCGTGTCGGTGTAGGGCGCGAGCGCGCCGGCCACGTCGGCCGCCGTCTGGTAGCCCGCGGCCTGCAGCAGCGCGAGCGCCGCCTCCGCGGCGTCCAGGCGCCCGTCCCTCACGGCCAGGGCCGCGTCCAGCGCCGCCTGCTGCACATACGGCAGCAGCGCCGTCGCGATGAGCTGCGAGGCGTCCGCGGGCGTGGTCTTCAGGGCCAGCGCGGCGTTGAGGCCGCCGGTGTCGGTGTAGGGCAGCAGGGCGGTCGCGATGGCCTGGGAGACGTCGGCGGCCGTCTGCTGCCGCGCCGCCACGTCCAGGGCCAGCTGGTCCTGCGTGCTCTTGAGCCCGTAGGTTGCGGCCACCGTGGCCAGCGTCGCGTTGTTGGCGCTGGTCACGGCCGAGTTCATGGCGGCCGTCGTGGGGTAGTTCGCCAATTTGAGGTCCACGGAAGCCGGCGTGGACTTGCCATTGACCTCCACCTGGAGGGCGTCCAGCGCCGACTGGTTGGCCTTGCCCGCAAGCCCGGTGGTCAGGCTGGCGCTCAGGGAGGTGATGGACGAGCCGTTGGCCGCGATGGAGCCCTGGGCCGCGGCCAGGTCCGCGGCCAGGGCGTAAGGCGTTAGGTCGGGCGGCGGTGGCAGCGCGGCGACCTGGGCCTGCAGGGCGGCCACAGCGGCCGCGTTGGTGGCCACGCCGGCGGTGTTGGTGCCGATGCTCGCGGTGTTCCCGGTCGTGGTTTCCAGGGGCGTGTACTGCGTCAGCACGGTGGCCAGCTGCCCGGCGGTGATGCCGGAGGTCTCCGTTGTTTGGCCGTCATTAAGGATATTTCCTGTGATGGTGCTTTCGAAGAGGCTCATGCTTTTACACCTCAGTCGAGGACGCTCACGCCGGCGCCCGAAAGCGTGACAATCTGGTACGAAATGAGGTGGATGTAGACTTGCTGGGCGCGGTCCGCCTGCAAGTTCTTGAAGGTGAAGCGTGCGAGGTCGCCGGAGCGCGTCGAGATGCCCGAGAGCGGGTGCTTGGGCACGCGCTCGACCGGGAACGCGGCGATGAACTGCGTATCCTCGAACTCGAGTCGGTTCAGGCGCATGTTGCGGATCTTGGAGTCGTAGGCCCCCGCCATGATCTCCAAGAAGTGATGATGCTCGGCCATGCTGGCCATAGGGTATCTTGGATAAGTCAACGCCCCCAGCTGCATCTGGCTCTCCAGCTGCCCGTTGACCGCTGGGTATTCCAGGTTCATCACCTCGCCCAAGGCGTCGTCGGCGTCCTTGAAGGTCACGAAAGCGCCCATGAGCTTGGTGTAGGCCCTCGCGACGGTGACGTTGTGACTGGTGGAGCCCGCGGGGATGTTGGAGACCTGCGTGTGCATCGTAGGGTACGAAAAAACGAGGCTGCGGCCCGAAAGCAACACTTTGTTGAACGATTCCACCAGAGCGCTGTCCAGCGTCACCTGCGAGGCCAGCACGCGCACGTTCTCGATGCTGTAGCTCGTGGAGCCGTTGCCCCCCGGCCAGAGTGCGTCCGCGGCCTCCGCGAATTCGATCTCCAGCACCAGGTTCAGCTGCGGGGGCAGCATCTTCCCGGATTGGAAGAGGCCGATGAGGGTCGGGGGCATGAGCACGTCCTTGAAGTTCCCGTCCAGGATGGCGGGCGGGTTGCCCAGGTTGGTCGGGTAGAAGCCCTCGTAGGCCCGGCCGTTGTACCATTCCTGAGGTTTCAGCAGGCTGTAGAGCCAGCAGCTGCGGCCGTAGTCGGTGATGTCATCGGTGCGCTGCCCGTTGCTGTACAGCTGCACGCGCTCGGCATGCTGCTCAGTTTGGTACAGACTGGATGCTTTGTCCCTGCATCACGGTCGCCATCCCCAACAAGGTCACTACACGTCGCTGCTGTTTGAGCGAGGATGCACACGCACGTGGCAAGCCAACGATGGGGTAAAAGCAAAAGTACTGCCTGATGAGCGTGTGTCTGTTTTGGCTGCTGATGCATATTTGCTGTGGTGCACTCGTGTGGAATCATGCTGACCTCTTCTTTGCTGACCAACTCTGACATGCTGTATGCTGGCTCGCATGCCAAGACTTGTCAAGGCTAGGTCTGGCTCAGCTCTGAGTTCGGCAGTGAAACAGTTTGAAGCAGTAGAAGGAGGTTGCCTCCTGGTAAAAGGAGGTTGCCTCCTGACCAAGCATGCTGTGTAGTGGGAGGTTGCCTCCAGTGTATATTGTGTACATATCGTGCTGTCGGCCACGCTGTTGCACGTGGCGGTCTATGTTCCATTTGTATAGGCTTGGACATTGACTCCTATAATTCTCGAGGAAGTATCGTTGTACAGTGGTAGGGCTCATTGCTTGGACTCATGAGTCGGATGAGCTAATCTGCGTTTTGCTTGGCGGTACGCCGCGATTACGGGGTGAATATCAGTGCCGTGAGCACCGGGTCAAAGACCTGCCCACTTAGCCGCGCTAGGTTCTGTCTGACAGGACTGCGTTCTCAAAGTCAAAAAGCTGCACGCGCTTGATGAAGCAGCTGCCCTCGAAGGAGCCGGGGAAAACCTGCCCGCCCTGTCCGTCGGTGTTCCGCACCCGGAAGGCGATTTTCACGCTCTCAGGGTCCATGAAGTCCATTCCGCTGGTCAGCGGGATCCTGGCCACGCGGCTGGTCGTGGGCGTGAAGGTGCTCAAGGAGCTCGGGAAGAACTGCACGGACCTTCTGCTCTGCACATAGTTTTACGTTGCTCGTCGCGAGCTTGTAATCCAGGCTCTGCATGAGCTCATCCTGGACGGCTTGGGTGACGTTGTCCATCGCTCCTTTCGCGCGTCTCGCTTTGTACTATGGCGTTCACGCCAGTTCGAGGTCGCTCCTGAGCTGGTCGAACGAGGGCTCCGGCAGCGAGGCGCGGCTGGAGCGGCGGCTCTGCCTGCCGGCGGCGGAGCTGTCGGAGCCGCTCGAGCGGCCCTGCGGCCTCGGCATGCTGGACGCGCCGGGGTTCAGGCCGAAGGGCAGCGCGGGCTGCCGGGCCTGCCGGCTCTGCAGCCTCGGGGGCGGCTGGGCCCTCGGCTCCGCTTCCGAGTCCGCGTCCATCCTGAAGACCTGCAGCCGCGGCCGCTGCTCCCGGAGCGAGAAGTGCTGCTGCGCGCCCGCCTCTTGCATGCCGTTCAGCGTCTGCACGTCCACGGCGGAGCTGGGCCTCGACTGGTCGCTGTCCGTGCCTCCGCCGCCCTCGCCCCAGCCCAGGAAGTGTTCGGCCGCCAGCATGCCGCCGTGCAGCGCCCACGCGGTGCCCACCAGGGCCGCCCCCGCGCCCGCCACGGCCAGGCCGCCCGCCGCCGCGCCCACCGTGGCGGCCACGGGCAGCGCCGCCTCCCCCGACGCGGCCAGCCCGGAGCCGATGGCCGCGAGCGCGCCTCCCCCCGTGGCCTCCGCGGCCGCCGCCGCCTCGGCGCGCGAGGCCGCGGCCTCCGCCGCGGAAGCGAAGCCTTCGGCCTCCGCCTCGGCCATCTGGCCCTGCGTGAAGGCCTCGATGTCCTGCGCCGCCTGGCGCTCCACCTCCGCGGCCCGCTGGCCCGCCCGCTCCAGCAGCGGCTCCACTTCGCTTGGCCAGCCGATGATCTGCGGCGGGGCCACCTCGTCCGGTGGGGGCGCCAGGCCCTCCGGCGTCCTGGGGATGCGCAGCGTGCGGTCCAGCCACTGCCGGCCCCGCAGCCCGTGGTGGTAGAGGTCCCCGGAGTGGGCCGCGATGGAGGCTACAGAGCCCACCACGCCCGCCGCCGCGCCCGCCGCGGCCTCGGCCCTCTGGAGCCCGCCCAGCACGCGGTCTCCCAGGCTCGGGGCGTCGGGCAGTGCCAGCCCGTCCTGCCTCAGCGCTTGGCCGGGGTCCGCTCCCAATTCACTGTCGGAATCGGCAGCGAAGGGCCTTGGGCGCAGAAAGTCCCGGCGCGGGAACGGGGTGCCCCGGTAGCCGTCCTCCTCGCGGGCGTCCTCGAAGGCCTCCGCGGGGTTCAGGTGGGTGTGGGGCAGTGGCTCGTCGCTCAGGGACTCGCTGGATGCGGGGAAGTCGTCCAGCCTGAAGTGCGAGCTCATGTAGATGGAGGCATTCCGGTTCGGGAGCCCGATGGCCAGGGGCTCGCCCTCCTCGATGTATCCCAGCACCTGACCGAAGTTGGGGCACCCTGAAGCCGTACTGGCGCTGCTCCTCCATGTGTGCGTCTTTACAGCATGCCCCCGTGAACGCCGCTGTCCGCCGTGTTCCTGCCCGCCGCGACGTCCCTCGCCATCCGCCGCACCCCCGCCCGCTCCGCCGGGGCGTACCGCAGCTGGGGCGGTTCACGGCCTCCGTCAGCCGGCCCACCGCGTCGGTGTACTCCTCGCCCTCCTTGCGCGTCCGGCGCTCCTCGAGCCACTTGTTGAAGGCCCGGGCCTCCAGGAGCTCGTTGTAGCGCTTGTGGAGCAGCGGATTCACGTTGTAGCTCGGGTACTTCTGCCAGAAGCTCCTGAGCATCTGGGGCTCGTTGCGGCGCTCCAGGGGCATCATCCTTTTAGCTCTACACGTCCATGCTGTTCGCCATGGCCAGCTGCTCGAAGCGGTTCTGCCGGCTGATCTGGCGCATCATGCGCACCTGCGAGGGCGTCAGGTGGAGGGGGCGCTGCTTCGGCTTGGGCTCCGGCTCGGGCTCCGGCTGAGCAGGAACCGCGCTCGCCGGCTGCGGCTGACCGCCTCCCCCAGCGTCGGCGGCGGGGACCGTCGCCGGCAGCTTGGGCTTGTTCTTTGAACCGGCCGGGCGGCCCCTGCGCTTGGGCACTCATCCTCTGGCGTCCTCAGCGGCGGGCACGGCCACCACCCCAGGGCGAGGTGTGGGAGGGGGAGCGGGGGCGGGATCAGCCATTGCAGGAGCCTCTCCCACCAGCTCGGCTGCTCCAGCAGGTTCCTCCGCGCCTGCTGCCTCCGGAGCACCCTGCTGGGGCTCTTGCTGCGTGGGCTCTGGCTCATCGGCCATGCCAGCGTGGGTCCCCTTTTGTTTTCTTTCTTCGGGCCCTTCATTTTTCTGGGTCGAGGAAAATCGCGAAGCTGACGGACGTGCCTCGGGTGTTCACCTGTCCACGATGACCTTGCAAATTATGTCCGTCCCCAAGGGGCCCAGGATGTGGGCCGCGTTGCCCAGCTCCCGGCACCGCAGGTAGACCTCGTTGTAGGCGTTCATGGACACCCACGGGAAGATCTGCAGCGCGCCGTCCAGGTAGCTGCCGCCCAGCAGGTGGTTGATGCTCTGGGGGCGGGTAGCGGAGGCGCCCTGGGGGTACCCCGGGCCGTTCGGGAACAGGTCCCGCAGCTCCGCGTCCGAGAGTATGCGGCGGTTCGAGTCGTAGGCCACCTCGACGGCGTTCGTGGCCTCCACGTAGGTGGCGGCTGCGAAGTTGGAGGAGATCCAGGCCGCCAGCCGCGCGCCGGTGTAGGCGCCCACGGGCAGCTCCGCCGTGTTCAGCGTGCCCAGGGCCACGTCGATCCAGTAGAGGTGCGTGCCCCTGTCGGTGCTCAGAAACGCGTCTGCGATGCGCACCTTGTAGACCGCCATTTTGGCGCTCGTCTGCATGTGCAGCGTCTCCGGGAGCTCGAAGGTGAAGTTGCTGTCGGAGCCCGAGACGCGGTTCCTGGAGTCGACGTATATGGTCGACACAACCGGCTTGTTTCTCCTAAACCGGAACGGCCCGCTGGCCGTGGACTCACCCGACACGCCGCGCTGGCCCCAAGTGGTCGGCAGAGTGGCCAGGCGAGGGTCGTAGACGTTGGGCTGGCTGCTGCAGCACCTAATGTTGCTGCACTCGCTCTCGATGATCGGCCCGCCCCCCAGCAGCTTGCTGGCCGCCGCCGAGAGGATGCCGCCCATTTACCGGCTGCTGGGGCTCCGCGGGCTGCGCGGGCTCCGCGGCGCCGTCCAGCACGAATTTTCGCTCGAAGCGCACCCAGAAGGCCTCCTCTTTGGGCGCCAGCAGGTTGACGTACCAAAAAGAGTACTTCTCCCTGGTGGCTTCCTCATACATCCCGTAAAGCGTCTCCTTGTCTACGAGCGCACTCAATTCTTCCACTAGAGCTTCCAGTTCCAAGCGGTTCCGCAGCCGGAAAACGCAAGCGAACATGATGTTCACCCGCACCGCCGAGCTCATCAGTCGCAGCTTTTGGGTGCTGGTCCACGTTGAAATCATGTAATGGCGGCCTCTGATGTACAATTTGTCCAGCATGCCATCCCCGGTCCTGTTGTGGACCCCCTTGGCGTCCGCTACGTCGTCGAGTACCAGCAAAACTTGGTACAGCTTCTTCATGCCCAGGCGCTTGGACTGCTGTGTGATCCGCTTCTGCTGCTCCATGATGCGGCGCAGCGCGTCCTCGTCCCACTCGGTCCACCAAGCCTGCTCACGGTCTGTGTCGACGCCCAGCTCCTCGCGAATGTAGTCCTTCACGGGGTCCCAGGCAGAATCTATGTCCACGGAAGGTGACATGATGTAGTTAAAGCAGCCTCTGTACTGCTCCAAGATCATGGACACGAGGAGCACGGTCTTGCCTGTGCGACTCGGACCCACCAGCACGCCGTTCGCCGGCAGCCTGGGCACCACGGGGTCGCGGGGCTGCTGCACCTGGAACTCGGGCGTCGGGAAGAGTTTGACCTTGCCCATTCTTTACACCTCCCGATCAGCCGCTGACAGACGCGGCCAGCTCTTCGCAAAGCCGCGGAGGCATGCTGTAGAGCTGCTGCTGGCTCTGCTGGCCGCGGCGGCCCGCGGTCGTCCCCCGCTGTGCTGCCTCGGGGTGGATGCCGTCTGCGAAGGCGGCGCAGCGGCTGCCTTTGAAACACATGGCCTCTGAGGGCCGCCAAGGCAGGTTGTGCCAGATCCTCGTGGCCTTCCGGTGCCGGTCCCGCACTTGCAGTAGCAGACGTCCGAGAAGGGCAGCCCTTGCATGAAGGGCCGAGTTTTCAGCAGCCCCGTCTGTGGGTTCTCCAAGGCCCACCACTGCGGGCGCAGGTTGCGGATGACCTCGAGGGCCCGCAGCACCAGACGGTCCCCCGCCTCGAGGTTGCGGGGCCGCTTCCGCAGCGCCTGGGAGTACTCGGTGCAGACGGGGCTGGCCCAGATCATGTCGAAGTGCCCCAAAGAAGCTTCGTCCAGCTCCATGATGTCGCAGCAGACGGTGGGCTCGAACTTGGGATCCAGGTCCACGGAAACGACCTCCCAGCCCCTGTCGCGGAAAGCGCGCCCGATCGACCCCGTGCCCGAAAAGAGCTCAAGGAGCCTCATGCTCTTTGATGGGATCGCAAAGGTACCACACGAAGACGACGAGCCCCGCAAGCAGGCAGGCCAGCTCGAGGTTGCACATGATGCACTCATGCAGGGTCATGGGCGGCAGGGGGTGTTGGCGGTCTTGGTCGGACAAGTCCATGGCCTTTTATGGAAGGGTAAAAGAGCCGCTGGCTCGCCAGCGGAAGAACATGGCATCAAGGCAGAGCTTCGAGCTGGGCGAGCTGCTCACGAACGCGAAGGGAGGCAAGTACCTGCCACTCAAGGCGGCGGACGGAGTCGTGCCCGCGTGGAGCAGCCCCACCTGGCTGCGCATCCTGTGGCGCCCCACCGCCTTCGGCGACACCGACGCCCGCCGCGTGAACGTCTGCTTCGAGCCGGACGAGTCCGTCGAGCAGCACTTCAAGGCCTTGGAAAAGGAGCTGGCGTCAAAGCTCGTGGCCAAGTCGGGCAGGGACCCCAAAGTGTTCGGCCGCAGCCTCTCGCCCGCCGAGCTGGAGGCGCGGCTGCAATCGTGCCTCAAGACCAGCCAGCGGGGCACCCCTTTCCTGAAAGCCAAGCTCAACTGGGACAGGGTGCGCTTCTGGGACACGGAAGGATACCTGCTGCAGGAGCCGGGCGACCTCGGGGGCCGCAGCGCTAGGGTGCGCCTCGAGCTGCGCCAGGTGTGGGTGATGAATCCCCAGTGCGGCCTGCTGCTGGAGGTCACCGACCTGCAGCTGCAGGAGAGCGAGCCGGCCAAGGTCGAGTGCCCCTTCGGTTGACCGCTGTCTAGAAGAAAGGGTGGCGGGCGCCCGCAGCACAGGCCTGCCCCCAAAGGCCCCCCGCGGCAGGGGCAGCTTACAGCAGCCGCCGAATTCGTTTCTGAGACGTCAGCCACTCCCTCTAATTCGTTTACGGACCCGGAATTTGCTCGGACGATTTTTTTTTGCCAGACCAGAAAGAATAAAAGGAATGAGTTGGGCGCAACAGCGCGAGCAGATCCGCCGCGCGGCCGAAGCCGGGGTCAGGCCAAGGGCCTCGGCGCTAGGCTCCCAGATTCTGCCCCTCCGCGGGCAGGGCGGCCAGTCCGCCCAGCTCACGCGCCCCAACGGCGCCCTGACGCGAGCCGGGCAGCTGTACTACCAACTTGCAGGCCGCCGGCCGCCGAGCCGTCAGTTCGACGAGTCGCAGCCGCTGATCCGCGAGGGCGCCTCCGATTACATCTTGCTGCGCAGCGGCGTGAAGAAGCTGGCGCGCACATTGGCGCCGGACGGCAACTACCACCTCACGAAGCTAGGCAAGGCCTTCTTCAAGGAGAAGTACACGGAGTGGCTGGCCCACGTGCCGGTGCGGATCCGCGGGCGCCGCAAGAACGGCCGGCCCTACGAGCGGCTGGACTACCTGCCCATGACCTCGCTGAACGTCGGGCTGCAAAGGCAGAACGACGGACTCTCGGAAGGGCAGGTGGCCCGCAACGTCAAGCAGGCGGTGCTGTCAAGGCTGGGCGACCCCTCAGAGGACGACGTGATCATGGAGCTCTCTGAGGAGGTCTACCACCTCGACGGGTCGCGGGAGTGGACGCTGAGCTCGCAGACCACGCAGCACGTCGACAACCGCACGCTGGTGGAAACGAGCCTGCGGCAGCCGCTCGGCGCCCTGCACGAGGTCTCTTACCAGCTCTTCAAGGGCGACGAGATCCTGGCCTCGGCCTTCGAGCAGCGGGATGACAAGCTCTGCGCGGCCCGGCAGCTGGCGGAGCTGCTGCGGCTGCCGCTGGAGGAGGCGCTCTCCGACTTCGACACCATCTGCGAACGTGGATGGCAGGAGCGGGGCATCACGCCCGAGGAGATCCGCAAGTTCTGCGTCTGGCGGGGCGCGCCGATGCTCTTCGTGAACTGCCAGGGGCAGCTCCTGGACTCTTACCAGCCGGCCGTGAAGGAGGCGCGCGCCGTGGCCTTCACGGCCTGGCAGGGGCACGCCTTCTTCTACAAGAACGCTCGCAGCGTCTTCCAGTGCGACGACGCGGAGCGCCTGCGGCCCCGCTTCCGGTCGGAGCGGCGGGAGTCCACGGTGCCCGAGTTCGGCGCATGGCGAGAGTGGGACGGCGAGCTCCGCGCAGGTCACTTCTGGACGCGGGACCTGCGGGCGGCGCGGGGCGCGCTGCTGGCCGCGGGGCACTGCCCCAGGGTGGCCATGCGCAGCCTCTGCGAGTGGCGCAGCCTGCGACTGCGGGCGGGCGAGGCGGACTGCGTCATCTGCGAGCTGCCCGACGATGCCGAGGTGCTGCAGGCGTGGATGGAGCGCTTCGGGCTGAAGTACCGCGGCCAGAGGCTGGCCGGCGCCACCAACGAGGTCTTCTTGCACCTGCTTCGGGCGCAGCGCGAGGTGCCGCAGCAGCGGGAGCAGATCCTGGCCTCCCAGGGTGGCGCCTGCAAACTGTGCGGCGCGCCCATCGCGCTCGGCACCGGCGAGTTCGACCACGTGGTGCCGGTGAGCACCGCCTTCCGCGGGCAGATCCAGGAGTTCCAGGCGCTCTGCCACGAGTGCCACCGGCTCAAGACCAGCCTGGAGAATTCGCACGCGACTGCGGTGGAGAGCCGCTTCAGCCCCGCGGCGTGCGAGGCCTATGTGAACTCGCCGAGGCTGCCGCCGCTGGTCTGCGGGCTGCAGAAGTGGAACGAGGACCGGGTCTGCTGGGGCGTGGACGTGGTGCGCTGCCGCAAGAACGGGCTGGCCAACGCGCGCTTCCCTCTGCCGGTGTTCTGCCCGCTGGATTCGGTGCAGGAGGCACGGGAGGGCTGTCTGGCGGACTTGACCTATGTCAAGCTGCGGAAGGACGGGCGCGTGGCTTTGCTGAGCCGGCTGCCGTACGTGGGCGAGGGCTGGTACGCCAAGCCGGCGTGCGCCCACATGCTGGAGGCCGGCGTTGCGACGTGGCAGGACTTCCTTTGGAGCCTGGACGCCACCGCGCACGTGGACCCGAGCTGCCTTGCCTGGGCGCTCCGCAAGATGGAGCAGGCCTGGGCCGAGGAGCACCTGGCCAAGCTGAGCATCAATGCTCTGATCGGCCTGTGGGCGCGCAACGTGGACCTCGTCTACCTGATGCGCACCTCGAATAACCAGCTCGATGGCCACGGTTGCCAGTACCGGCAGACCTTCGTGGACGCGGCCGGCAAAACGCACTGGGACCACATCTTCGTGACGCAGCTCTACAGCAACGCCTCGCACCGGCCCGCCTGGGACTTCGTCATGGCGGCGGAGTACTGCGCCGTGGCCCGGATTCGACAGATGCTGGCGGAGGTGCCGATGCGCTACCTCAAGTTCCTGAAAACCGACTGCCTGGGCTTGCAGGACCTGCCCAAGAAGTACTGGCCTGCGGTGGAGCGGCTCATGCGCCTGCGCCACCCCGACGGCACGCCGGTCTACAGGTGTGAGCAGGTCGAGCAGCTGCGGGGGCACCACTTCGAGCCGGAGATCCAGGCTGGACCGCCGCAGCGCCGCGGCTGGGAGCAAGTGGACGACCCGCTGGCCCACTGCCTGCAGGGGCGCAGCCTGCTGCTCACCGGGCTGCCCGGCACGGGGAAGACGCACCTCGCGAGGCGCATCGTGGAGCAGCTGCGGGAGGCCGGCGACGTGGTGCAGCTGGTCTCGAAGACCCACTGCGCGGCGCAGAACTTGGGCTTGGGGGCTCAGACTGCCGACCACTGGGTGCGTCGCACGGTGCGCAACGGCCGCTGCCAGCTTGACTGGCTGGTGATCGAGGAAGTCACGCAGATGGACACGGGGCTCTGGGCCGACGTGGCCTGCGTGGCGCTGGATCGCGGCGTGCGCTTCCTGCTCATGGGCGATTTCCGGCAGCTGCCGGCGGTGCTCGACAGCTTTGCCGGGGCCCGCGTGGAGCGGCCGCTGAAGGACAGCGACCTGCTGCGGGACCTGGCGGGCGGCTGCTGCCACGAGCTCACGGAGAACCGCCGCTCGGACGAGCGCATCTTCCGGTTCATCAGCTGGCTTCGGGTGGGCGAGCCCGAGGAGGTGCCCCTGGCCGAGGCCGTGAGGGTGGCGCGCCGCGAGTTCCCGCGGCCGCCGGGCACGCACCCCGACGTGTGCCTGGTGCTCTCGCACGCGCACCGTGTGCAGGTCAACGAGCGGGAGAACAAGCGCCTGGCGCCCGCGGACGCTGTCGTGATCGAGCACCAGGCGCCGGGCGCGCCCACGACCAACGCCCCGCAGAAGATGCGAGTTTGGCCCGGACTGCGGCTGGTGGGCGCCGGCGGCAAGGTGGCCAAAGGCACCTTTGTGCGGGTGGCCGAGGTGGGTGCGGAGCGCGTCGCGCTGGACGGCGGGCAGCAGTTCACCCACGCGGAGCTGCTGCGGCATACGCGGCTGTGCCACGCCATCACCTACGCGAGCTGCCAGGGGCTGACGCTCCGCGGCCGGGTGTGGCTGCTGGACGCGGGCACGCAGCACTTCAACCTGCGGCACCTCTACGTCGGGGCCAGCCGAGCTACTAGCTCCGATCTGTTGAGCGTGCTGTAAGCAGACGCCAACGTGAGCTCTACATGAGTTGAACATGAGTCCACATGAGCTCTACATGAGTTGAACGTGAGTCCACATGAGCTCTACATGAGTTGAACATGAGTCCACATGAGCTCTACATGAGTTGAACGTGAGTCCACATGAGCTCTACATGAGTTGAACATGAGTCCACATGAGCTCTACATGAGTTGAACATGAGTCCACATGAGCTCTACATGAGTTGAACATGAGTGCACATGAGCTGTACATGAGTTGAACATGAATTCATGAGTTCTACATGAGTTGAACATGAGTCCACATGAGTTCTACATGAGTTGAACATGATTCCACATGAGTTGAACATGAGTTATACATGAGTTGTGCAAGAGCTTTACATGAGTTCATGAGTAGCAAGGTATTTTGCGATGCGGTCACGGAGTTCGCACCCTTGCAACGTGCGGCCGTGCGTTGACACGTTTTTGCGGTTTTTCGTAGTGCTTGAAGTGGATGTGCGTGTTTTCATGTCCCCCGGTTTTGTCGTGTTTTTGGCATGATTTTGGCATGACTCATGGCTGCGCATGGCATGTTTTGCAGGAGTTGTTCTGGTTTTGACAACAGATACATAGCAAAAACTAGTGTTGACAGGCAGGGCCATCAGTGTTGCAAGTGCTCATTGTTTTGTCTGGGTCTTGTGCAAGGAGAGAGATGCTTGCCATGCATCCTTCTGGATCTCGCTGTCCTGGCAGGCGATATCGTGTGTCCTTTGTCAACGCACTCTGCGTGTGGCACCCAGATACTTCTGAACCAGCAGCCAAACCGAAGATAACAGAAGGGAGTCGTGGATCATTGCTCCTTTGATTTCATTCAGTCGCATCTGCTCGAGCCTTCTTGAGGACAGCTGTAGGACGAGCGCAGCCATGGCAAGGACTCCAGCGTCGTGCAAGATTGGTCGCGTGCTGGTGCTGCTGGCGTTGTTTTGGGCGTGTCAGCCAGGGCCTAAGACAGGCGCTGCTCAGCCAGTGTTAGAAAGGATCCTGAGCAGCTTCAGGCAAACCGTGCAGACAGTGCGGGCTGCTGTTGTCCGGGCCGTGCCATGTGCAAGGCGGGATGCGACAGCATGGAGTGGCGAAGAGCATCAAGTCATAAAGCCAAGCGAGGCATCTTGTGGGCGCGTGGGCACGTAAGCCGCTCATTGCACGCAGAGCGAGCAAGGCTGGCAAAACTGAGAATAAAGTGGTAAGCTCATCCGGAGAAGTTCAGGCTGATGTCCAACCTGGTGAAGCTGACCACAAAGAAGATGATAAGGCAGGAATGGTTTGTCGGTTCGGAGTGACACCCCTGCTTTGCTGTAAGGTGAGCCAGCTGGCCAAACAACACGATGCGGTTCAGAGCTACAAGGCAAATGAGGTGCCTTGCGTCGTTCTTATGTCGTTCCCTTTGGTCCTGCCCTGGCTTTCTCTGAAGCGTCTCTTGTAGGTAACTGGATGGGTTCGAGACTTTGACCCCAAGGTCGGAGATGACGAGCGTTGTGCCTGCTTGCGGTATTCAATGCGCCAACGTGCTCCGAGGACATCAGCGAGTTTGCGGGTCAACAGTACGCCGGGAAGGACCTGCTGGCGATGGGCGTGGCAGAGCTCGACAACCTCGAGTTGGCAAAAGGGCCACGGAGGCGCCTGATAGAGAGCATCAAGAAGCTGAAAGCGGCGGCCGCCGCTTGACTTTCAGCTGTGCCGTTGCTTCCGGGCAGCCTAGCCGCAGTCTTGGAGCAACCTGAGGCCATTAGACAACCCAAACTGAAGCTTCGCAATGCAGGCACTGACGATGAGGCCCGGGGTCTTCGGAGCGTAGATGGATGTCCACAGCACGGGTTGCTCCTGCACAGGGTCGGATCAAGATGGTCGGCGGCGGCCTCGGAGCTGTGGGAAAGTTAGCCAAATGTGGCGGGGACGGCGCTGGCAGGTGACATGCTGTCGGCGCTGGTCGAGCTGCAGCTGAAGGACAAAGACCTCTTGCAAGCAGACGCTCGCCCACGTTGTGTTTTGGAGGGTGCCTGCCGTTCAGGGTCCCTGTTTGACTTTCTTTTGGCAACCTAGAAAGCCGAGGCCATCGATGTAATCAAGAAGCAGCTCGAAAAGCTACAGGACGACCAGGCCAGGCTGTTCATTGAAGTTGTCGCCATAGCACGGGTTGCTCCTGCACAGGGTCGGATCAAGATGGTCGGCGGCGGCCTCGGAGCTGTGGGAAAGTTAGCCAGATGTGGCGGGGACGGCGCTGGCAGGTGACATGCTGTCGGCGCTGGTCGAGCTGCAGCTGAAGGACAAAGACCTCTTGCAAGCAGACGCTCGCCCACGTTGTGTTTTGGAGGGTGCCTGCCGTTCAGGATCCCTGTTTGACTTTCTTTTGGCAACCTAGAAAGCCGAGGCCATCGATGTAATCAAGAAGCAGCTCGAAAAGCTACAGGACGACCAGGCCAGGCTGTTCATTGAAGTTGTCGCCATAGCACGGGTTGCTCCTGCACAGGGTCGGATCAAGATGGTCGGCGGCGGCCTCGGAGCTGTGGGAAAGTTAGCCAAATGTGGCGGGGACGGCGCTGGCAGGTGACATGCTGTCGGCGCTGGTCGAGCTGCAGCTGAAGGACAAAGACCTCTTGCAAGCAGACGCTCGCCCACGTTGTGTTTTGGAGGGTGCCTGCCGTTCAGGATCCCTGTTTGACTTTCTTTTGGCAACCTAGAAAGCCGAGGCCATCGATGTAATCAAGAAGCAGCTCGAAAAGCTACAGGACGACCAGGCCAGGCTGTTCATTGAAGTTGTCGCCATAGCACGGGTTGCTCCTGCACAGGGTCGGATCAAGATGGTCGGCGGCGGCCTCGGAGCTGTGGGAAAGTTAGCCAGATGTGGCGGGGACGGCGCTGGCAGGTGACATGCTGTCGGCGCTGGTCGAGCTGCAGCTGAAGGACAAAGACCTCTTGCAAGCAGACGCTCGCCCACGTTGTGTTTTGGAGGGTGCCTGCCGTTCAGGATCCCTGTTTGACTTTCTTTTGGCAACCTAGAAAGCCGAGGCCATCGATGTAATCAAGAAGCAGCTCGAAAAGCTACAGGACGACCAGGCCAGGCTGTTCATTGAAGTTGTCGCCATAGCACGGGTTGCTCCTGCACAGGGTCGGATCAAGATGGTCGGCGGCGGCCTCGGAGCTGTGGGAAAGTTAGCCAGATGTGGCGGGGACGGCGCTGGCAGGTGACATGCTGTCGGCGCTGGTCGAGCTGGATGCAAACAGTGTGATGAGTTCAGCTCTTCAGGATGTGGATGTCACATCGGTCGGTCGGCCGCACGCTGTATGTCCTTGCCGATCGCCGTCTGAGCTGTGCCGCCTGGCCCAGGTGTTGGAGCAGGCCTGCAACGCAACCAGGAGTGATGTGAAGAGCTACGGGCCAAAGCAAGTAGCTGCATGGACTGCGGCAAAACTGGTTTCTGCCAAGTACGACGCTGCGGCGATCCAACAGGCCAGGGGTGCAAATTTCGTTTGTGCCAGCCATTCTTTTTCCTGGTTTGGCACTTGCGAAGCTGTCTGAGATATCCTTCAGTTTGTCACTGTGTGCACTTTCGTTTGTTTGAGGCGCTTGGAGTGCTGAAGACGAGCGGCCCTACCCTGCTGAACATCACAAGCCAAGATCTCCAGCGCTGGGGGCTAGATGATCGCAGCATCGAAAAGACCGTGCTCGAGGCGGTTCAATCCTTAAGTGACCCTTCGGCCACTTTGGCATGCGCTAGTCACGCTTCTTTTGGCGGGCCTGTTTTGCTCAGTGTCACGTCAATTGGCATCTTTCATGGCAGCCCGTGCGCTGAAAGGCGTTGACATTTCGTGACCTCGTGAACGACGAGGCGAAGGTCCAGTACAACTATCAAAACAAGGTGTGGGTATATGGCCGTCCGACAAGTTTCCCCCCATGTGGCTACGTCCCAGACGCGCAGATGCTGAAGATAAGCATCAATGGCACGCATAGCTCAGAGATTCTGTTTATGAACTCCGAAGGCAAGAGTTGTATCCCAACCTTCCACGGAGAAAGTGGCAGTGGAAAGACTTTGCTAGCTGTGATGAAGCCGGCTATCCTACTGCAAGCCGATCAAGGCGATACTGTTCGGGTGTTCACTATGACCGTCAGTGCCGAGGAGGTGCAAGAGATCAGCCAAGCCCAAAGCAAAGATGATCGCGATGACCGGTGCAAAGCCAAGGTCATGAACATATTCAAGAAGTGCATCAAGTCGGCTTTGGGAGACCCAGGGGGTATTGTTACTCAATGGTTTCTTGGCACGCAGTGAGATGTTAGTGCCTAGGATTCAGGTTCTGAGACGTATCTGCTCCATACCTGGCCGTACCTGAAGCTAAGGCTGGAGCACCCTGATCCAGACGATCTTGGCAATGTGGTATTTGTAATCGATGAGATTGGAACATGCCTCGATTTTGCACGTGGAGTGGCGGCGCAACAAGAGGACATATACAAGCACATGCAGCAGTTTTGCAAAAATAAGAGCCAATTGGTCATGGCAGGCACTGCAGGTGCAGGCACTGTGGCATATCAGCCATCTGTGGAAGTGTCGACAAAGCCAGAGCAAGTTTGCCTAGTCTTCGTCGGCAGCGTGAAAGACGCAACCTTCGGGCGTGCCCTATGTGAAGCAATGCTCCCCCTTGAAACTTGTGCAGTGAGATACGACGACTTGATGGAGGTCAAATCTATGAAGGCATATCTCAGCAACGCACGGACTGCAGTCTTGTTAGTGGAGGAGGTCGCGCGATGGGTGAACAAGAAACCCGCAAACGTTGCAAAAGAGACCGTGCGTGACGCATGGAAGCGTAGTCCTCATTTGACAAGCTATTTGGTGCCGAGCAAGTACAGAATGCTCAATGGCCTGCAGAGCGTGACGTGCATCCGTGATCATGCCGATTGCGCTTTGAAGCTGCTGATGCACCCTTCGCTTCTGGAAAGCAAAGATATTCCAGAACCTGAAGTTGCCAGGAGGTGTGTGACACTAGGACTCGTGGCTATTCCAGATTCTCAACAAGCTGCAGCAATCCACGCCCCCACCGGCAGCAAGTCATATTTCTCAACAACCACTTTCGACTCCTCTGAGGCTCTGAAGCAGATGCTGCTTGCTGCATTCGAAGTTCCGGCCATTCTTCCAAAGGACGGACTGTCACTGGAACTCGTGGTGGCCGAGGCCCAGAGGCGCTTCTCAGAAGTGCTGACAGGCAATCGAGCTACCCTGAAGCATCTGCCGTATGCTATGCCTCCAGTGGACAATCAGGATATGGAAGGCATTCCAGAGAATACATTCGTGGAGATTCTTGATGCGCTTGCTTCCCAGCAAACAGTCGTGCTGGTCAACGGACCCAGTGCGCAGGGAGCTGACATCATCCTGCTTCGAGCGGCTCAGCATACCAAGAATTGCACGGCCACGAAGCCTTTTGTTCGCTTCGTGCAGGTTAAGAACCAGAATCGTGCGGCGAACCAGACGGATGTCGTGAGAACATTGGGAGTTGCAGCAAAGGCAAACGCATCCCAGAGCAAATTTCAGAAACCTAACCCATGGTCTGCGATGGTACTGAATTGGTTCTGCCGGGTGGTGAGCGAGAAGAATTGCAAGAACTTGACACGGCACTTTGGACAGGTGCGAGAACTGAAAGGCAAACCTCGAGAGATGGACGTGGATGTGGAGCTTGTTCTCCTCGAAAGAGTGACGACTCAAAAGGCACCTCCATCGTTACAGAAGCCGAGATTTTTAAAAGAATGCCCTACCTTCAAGCTGCAGAGTTTGGAGCACCTGGCTCCATTTCCGACACAACTGCCGTCTAGTACGGCGAAAGCATATGGGCAGAAAAAGGCCAACCGCCGGAAAACTCCAGTGCATTGCAGCTCATGCGCTGGTTGTTTGCCTTGTGTGAATGCTGGAAGGGTACTGCGTCGTGAACGTTTCCGCCTGGCATTCAGGTGGACTGGAGCATCGGGAGTGGTTTGCTCTACCCCAAACAATATCCCCGGTATCAAGTGAGTGCGTTGTCCACTGGGGAGGGGTGTAGGAGTTCCTACAGGAGTAGGGTCGAGAATTTGAGCCCGTGGCTACAAGCCCACGCCGTTTAGCCCCTAGAAACTCCTCCAACACACCCTCTCAGGTCCCTATTCATCAACCTCGCTCGCTGGGAGATTGTCGCTGGGTGGAGCCTGGGAAGTATGAAGTGGATGATCCTGACCGTTGCCCCTAAATCCACTTCCCAGGTATCGAAGTGCAGACTGTGTGCGAGCCGTGTTCCTGCATGTTTTTTGGCATGTTTTATTGTTTTGTACTTGCTCCGAGCTGAGGAGCTGCGTGGCTCATCCGGCTCACTAGATGCTCATCTGCGCCTGCTGATGCTCATCAGCCTGCAGGCCCTCCAGTCTGGCCTCCAGGCCCAGCTCCAGTTCTGGCGGGTCTGGGTTGAACCCAACAAAGTCCCATGGCAGAGCTCCCACAATGGGGGTTGCAGGCCCCTTTTGCTTGGTGGTATAGTTTTTGTGCCCGCTGATGCTCATCTGCCCGCCCGCTGATGCTCATCCGCCCGCCCACTGATGCTCATCTGCCCTCCCGCTGATGCTCATCTGCCCGCCGTGCCCGCGGATGCTCATTTGGCCCACCGGCTGATGGCACGCAAGCCCCCGCAGGCCGCCCGGATTTCACGGACTGCCCGGCAGATGCGGCCGACTGATGCTCATTGATGCCCGCCCGCTGATGCTCACCGCCCTCGGAGACTCGCCCCACCGTCGCTCCCGCCACCTCGTGTGGAATTTGGGCTCATGCTGGGCTCATGCTGGGCTCATGTTGGACTCATCTGGGCTCATGCTGGACTCATGTTGGACTCATCTGGGCTCATGCTGGGCTCATGCTGGGCTCATGTTGGGCTCATCTAGGCTCATCCTGCCGGCTGGTGCATCTGACCCCGCCCGCAGCCCGCCCGCCGATGCTCGACGCACCATGCTGGGCTCATGTGGGACTCATGCTGGGGTCATGTGTGACTCATCTGGGCTCATGCTGGGCTCATGTGGGACTCATCTGGGCTCATGTGGGACTCATCTGGGCGCATGTGGGACTCATGGGCTCATGCTGGGCTCATGTTTGGACAGGAGGAGGGCGCTGGCAAGTCTCCACAGAGCTCCTTTACCAAGATTGCCAAGGCCGAGGCTGGCAAGTTCCGCGCAGCATCCTGCCGCACTCAAACCCTCGCAACACTGCCAGGTTGCTAAAAATCCCAGACTCTCTCTTCTATAGCATTCCCCAGACCCCTCTGAAGGCTGTGTACAGACAGCCTGAATGAAAGTGAGCAGCATCACATCTTTCATTCGATGGCGCTCAAGACTTCAGAAATGCTGCCACGGAGCTGTGGGGCCGCAGTTCTGCAGCAAGCAAAATCGCGCTTTAGAGCAGTTTTGGGGTGAGCGTTCCGACGAAAATGCCTCAAGGAGCAAGATTCTAGGGGGGTCCCCTTCCCATTTTTTTTTTCCTCTTCTTTATTTTGTCCCTTCTGTTTTTTCTTTGCTTAATTTCCATGTCTTTTTTGTTTGTTTCTGTTTTTTCTCTTCTCTTCCTTTCCCTTCCCCTTGACCCCCCTAGAATCGCGACGAAGAGGCATTCTCATTGCGAGCACCCAAAACTGCTCTAAAGCGCGATTTTGCTTGCTGCAGAACTGCGGCCCCACAGCTCCGTGGCAGCATTTCTGAAGTCTTGAGCGCCATCGAATGAAAGATGTGATGCTGCTCACTTTCATTCAGGCTGTCTGTACACAGCCTTCAGAGGGGTCTGGGGAATGCTATAGAAGAGAGAGCAAGCGCGCCTTGCCAATCTTCGTACCACCAGCTGGCATCATCATCATCCCAATTCTTTCCTTTTTTTCTTTTCTTTGCCTTTGAATCCTTTTCCTTTTCCACCTTTTCCTTTTCTTTGCCTTTGGCCTTTAAATACCTTTTCTTTGCTCTTGTCCTTTTCTTTGTTCCAATTCCTGTACTTTTCTTTGCCTTTTAGCGCCCCAATGTCCATTAGCGCTGATTTCTGTTGTCAATGCATCTACGTTTAAACGAAGGTGTTGTTGCAATAAACCTGACATCTTTGTCACCAATGTGACAAGTAGGTCGTTATCCAATGCTTGTGGCCTTTTCATGTTTGTTTTTCAATAAGATAAACTTAGTCAAATCTGCTTTCATGGGCGTCTCTAAGCTTGAAATCCAAAATATCTCACTGCCAATCTTGCGAATCCATCTGTGATCTGTGCAAGCAAATGGTGCAGTTGCTTTAAGAACACAATGACAAGCATTTAAGTGCTTAATGCAATCAGAATACACGGTACTGATGCTTCTTCTCTGCCCATAATCTTAAGAGCCAGGGCTTTGCCGCACTACCATGAAATTTTACACAATCAATGTTTACTGTTTGTGCCCCTGAAGCCAAAGCATCAAGTTAATGCTCATGTTAAACATGTCACTGTGTCAATGCTTCTCTGGAAGCGTGCCACCATGTGAAAAAATGTGAAAATATGACATTTCTTTGTGTGCCTAGTTGCTTGCAGGTACATGTGTAGGACATGAGTGCTGTGACATGGCAAGAACGTGTTTTGTTTTGGCATGAGCATGTTTGCATGACATGAAGGTGCTTTGACTTGACATGTTTTGGTTCAAGTCCGATGATGAGTTTTGAGAAGCACAGAGAAGCTTTTAGCTCTCGGGAGTTGACCTGAGAGTCATCTGGAAGTGCTGAAGCAAAGCTCTGAGGAACAGACTTTGGACGTTACTCACTCCGTGTGCTTTGCCCCATCGTTCGTACCGTGTCGTGACCGTTTGACACTCGACTGAGGCATTCTGAGAGCATGCTGTATGTTTTGCAACAGACCTGAAGTCCTGAAGCAGTAACCAAGATGTTTTGCATGTTACTTTTGTCTTCTCCTTTGTCTAAACAAAGTTGAGATGTCGTTTGAAGACTTGAAGCCTTTGCTCTTGGAGAGAGCACCTTTGCTGACCAAAGACAGTGTAGCTGAACACTGATGTGTTTGGCTCAAGTGCGAACGGAAAAAGCAGTCTGCGCTAAAGCTCTGCTTTTCACATGGTAGCGGAGCGTCCTGAAGAGACGTTCCAGGAAAAGCCATGGCCCAAGTTCCGGACGCGTCTACAGTGCCAGTACCTGATGTGAGCCCTGAGGAAGAGGCTTTGCTGTTTGGGTCTCAAGGACAGCCGACAGCACCTGCTGGAGGAGCGAACCCTTTTGCGTCGCCTCCGGCAACTCCAGCTCAAGCTCATGCTTCGCCTGCTGGAAGCCAAGTGGGTGGAGTACAAGCTGGAAATGGCCTTGGTGAAGGCAACTTCCAAGCCATCTTCATGGAGATGCTAAGGCAACAAAGTCAGGCCAACCAGCAGAACCAGCAGTTGATAGCTGCCCTCATGAGAAGGATGGATTTGGAAGAGAAGCGTCGAAATGAGGCTGAAGAGAAGGCAGCGGAGACCGCACGTTTGGTTGCGGAGGCTGCAGCTAGAGCCAAGACGGAAGACCCTTTTGCAGCTGCACCGAGCACACCTTCTGTGCCTGTTGCAGGAGCTACCTCGTCTTCGAGTTCTGTTCGGAGCCCACTGGTGCAGAATAGAGCGGAGAAGTACCTTCCATCTCTGCCGATGCTAGAGCATCAAGGCATGAACAAGGGCAGGATGCGAGAAGTCGAGACATGGCATGCCTACTTGGAAACATTGTCATCGTGGCTTGCTCTTCAAGATGAGTCTTTCGTTCGAGAGTTGCAACTCTGCGTCAAGCAAAAGAACGAGATCCTTCAGAAGGATTTGGCGGATGATGTTGCTGCTCGAAGCGCGAAGCTTTACTACTATCTCACCCAATCTCTCTCACGTTGGGAAAGAGGTCAAGAGTTGCTACGCTCGTGCTCGAAAAGGCAGTCTCTCAGTGCCTGCGGATACGAGGCGGTTAGGACCATCACGCAGCAGTACAGCATCGTGTCTCGCATGGAAGCTGTATATGTGCGCGAGCAGTGCCTCAAGTTGGCGACTACGTGCCAGCATCACCGACGGCCGACGGACCTCATCCGTCACTTGGAGGACGAGTTTTCTCGTGCCGAATCCAAGCTTGGGAACTTTCCAGAGTTGCGCCTCTCGGAGGCTGACCGCTGCAGTGTTTTGCTGCAAGCTCTGAGCCAGGAGCTCAGACAGTACGTAGTTCTTCATGGAAAGAGCAACGACTGGACATCGCTGAGCGAGAGCCTTCGGTACTATGAGGAGCAACTTCGTCTGTGTGAGGTTCCTTCTTCCTCAAGTCGGCAGATGTCAGGAAAAGGTGACAAGCTTTGTGACCACTGCGGACGAAAGGGACATCTGGCTAAGGACTGCTGGAGCCGTCAGCGTGAAGCTGGCGAGAAGGGCAAGAAGGGCGACAAGGGCAAGAAGGGCGATGGCAAGGGAGCACAGAATCCCAAAGGAAAGCCACGCTCTCCAACGCCGAAAGGCGGAAAAGGCGGCAAAGACAAGGAGCAGAAGCCCGACAAGCCTGATAAAGGCAAAGGAAAAGGCAAGAAGAAGAAGAAGGCTAGAGCCCGGGCTATGGGAGAACCAGAGTCCGAGGCAGAGTCCGAGTCTTCGAGGACCTCCACCGTGATGGCGATGAGGTTTGCCAAGCCTTCTGCTGTACGAGAAGTACTGAGCCAGCCTGAGCCTGAGAAGCCTAAGCCCGTAGCAGTAGTCCCTAGACCGGTCGCTGTAGAGCCGAAAGTCACTGTAGATGAGAAGGTAGGCACCCTGACTGGAAGCACCTCGAAGGGAGATGCGGCATACGTCTGCGCGTCGCTGCAGGTAGAGCATCGTGATGTGTGGCTGGTCGATAGTGGAGCCACATGCCACATCGTCTCAGCAGATCATCTGTCAGGATTTCGTGTCTGCAAGTACCATGATCGCACGGTGACGCTCTATAGTGCCTCAGGAGACATCATAAACGTATCGAATGTCGTGGATCTGGAAGTTCGTTTCGGCGACGTTTCGTTGACGTTGGAGGACGTCCTTGTGGCGGACGTGCCTTTTAATGTGGTATCTCCGTGGTCCGCGTCGGAACGGGGCTGGAAGACGCACCTTGCGCACACCGGGTCTCGCATTTACAAGGGTGGAAAGAAGAATGTCCGCCTGGTTGGGGCGAAACGGGCCTGGTGGGCGATTAGTGGAAAGAAGCAGAAAGCTCCTAAACGCCCATCCAAGGGATCGGACATGGAGATCGACTCTCTTCCTGTTGACAAGGAACCCAGGAAAGACATTACTGCAGGACCAAGCATCCTGAAGAAGACTTCGAAAGAAGCGAAGAGTGATGAGAAGCCTGGAAAGGACGAGAAGTCTATCCGCCACGTCTTGACGGGAACGCCGTTTGAGTTCATGTTGCGCGGTTTGAGGGCTGAAGTTAGGAGTAGGTCCCTGGAAATTCCTGAAGAACATGCTGTTAGGAAACCGCATGACATGATATGTACTAGAAAAACGCATGTCCTGAGTGGTGATAGGAGCCTGTGTTCCGAAAGTCTGGTTAGGAAACTGCATGATTCTGTTAGGAAATGCCATGTTTTTGTCAGACAGCAACATGATTTTTGGCAGCGGCATGTGTGCGCAGTTTGGAACGTGATGTTTTTTTTTGCTGGCATGTCTTGTGAAGGGGTTGTGTTTGAGAGGCTTTTCGCTTCTGATCTTCGGCAGTGAAGGCTTGAGGTGTGCCCTTAAAGGAAGTGAGTGCCCCAAAGCAACCGGAGAGCCAAGCATGTTTTGCGTTAGGAAGCCCAAAAGACCTCAAAAAGGCTTGAAGTGCGCATGTTTGTCCGCAGCCATTTTGCTTGTTTGCGTGTCTTGGTTTTCGCTGAGGGAAGGTACTGAGCATGTCGGAACCTCAAATGGAGGTGGAGCAAGATTCCCACAACTCTCCAGCGGAGAGTACCGGGCAGGAGGTTGTGTTTTTGAATGCACCAGTAGAGCCTGCACCAGCAGAGGCGGCGCCAGCCGAGACTGCGGATGCAGGGGCTTCAGTTGCCCCCTTCAATGTTTTCTCGAGGCCTCCGAGTCAAGTTGCAGTACCTTCGCCTTCGGTGGCTGCATCAGAGACAGGAGAAACAGAAGAGGAGGAAGCATGGGGAAAATGGAGGGCTCAAACGGTGGCATCCACAAGCAAGCCTTCGCAGCCATCAGCCGAGCCGCCGCTGATAGTGAAGTGGAGAAGCATGCTGAGAGGACCGCGCTACAGGTATTTTATGCAAGCGATACGACAACAGCGAGAAGATCTTATTGCATGTGGATACCCTGTGCCGGCAATTCCAGAGAACAACCTGGAACCTGCAGTTCCACTTATGTCTATCGGAGATGGGCTCGTTTATCCTTCCCGCCAGGGGACCATCTTTGCGTCATTGACAGATGCTTTGATGACCGACGGCTACCTCCTCGAGGTTGGACAGAAGCTCCTTGGGCGGATCCAACGTCCAGACCCAGATGTGGGACCGTGCCTGGGAACGGGCTGGTCCAAGAGGCTTCGCGATCACGATCCCGATCCTCTGGATGGAACGCCCTACATCAGCGCAGAGGTTGCGTGGGCGCTGTGGCTGCCCGAGTTTCCGGAAGCCCCGGAGCATGGGGGCATCCTTCCGGTGAAGAGAAAGAGGGATTTTTCCCAGCTCACCGACGAGTTGTTGGACGAGCGTACTACAAGGTTCGAACTCGCGGGTCAAGGCCGCACTCTTCATCAACGCGGCGTGCGTGCAAGGGACGCGCGTGCAGCTCTCGAAGGGTATACTCCCGATCCAAGTCACCTACGCCACCAGAGTGGCGGGGACGTAGCTGCGCTGGGTTACATCAAGCGTATCCTCAAGGTCCTGACCGTTTACGAGGCCATGCCGGAGGCGGAACGCAACCTTTTGGCTGGAATGTATCCAGACGACGTCGAGCTCCAGCTCGAGTGGGTGCCAGGCTCAGCCATCAGACATGGGTGGCGTGCGTTAATGGGGGCAATGGATCAGCGCACCCGGCGCTTTATCGAGTTCGAAGCAGAGGTCCGAAAATGGGAGGACTTGCAGTCCGCTCGACCCAAGGTCAAGGCCAGAAGGATGGCTGCAGCTGCTTCCACAGAGACTGCAGATACTGGAGGTGGAATTGGAGAGCTGGACGATGGAGAATTGAGAACTGCAGATACGGAGGTCTCGCGTGCCGAGGTCTCGGAGACAGAGTCTGCAGAGTCATCCTCTACAAGTTCGTCGGACGAATCGATTCCAATGGGGGAATACATGATGCAGAGCCGGACCAGAGTTTTGGCGCTCATCGAAGCGGAGAAAGCCTTGAAGAATGTGGGCTCCTCTGCGCCGCCCCCACCGTCTCCGATCATTATGGAGCCATCGCCGGTCGCGACGGACGGGTACAAGTTCGATCCAGCAGCCCTAGGAACCCCTCCGGGGGACACTGCAGCTCCCTCAACGCCGGTACCTCCTTCGCCTTCCGCAGTTTCATTGGCCCCTTTGGAGTCCTTCAAGTTCTTGGATGTCCCACCTGTTGCTTCTTCTGGTCCCTCGGACCACAGTGTGGAGCCGATGGTGGTGGAAAAGGAGCGGGCCCCAGAAACTCCAGGACCCACGGCACCGGTTGGAGCTCCAATTTCCACAACGGAGAGTGTGCCGGAGACCCCTCCTCCAGGGGAAATTCCAGGTCCCGGTTATGTCCCGAAGGCAGCTCCTGGGGAAATTCCGGGTGCTCTTTCGAAAGCCAAGGCAGCACCAGCGGGGGCTACACCGAAGGCCTGGTTTGTGGTTCCAACTTCCTCGCCTTTGACGGTTCCAGAAGCGCCAGTGGCTGTAGAGTCTTTGCCTGCAGCTCCAGAGCCAGCAACCGTGGCGGCGGAGGAAGGGCCTACATCCGAGACCGCTACATCATCCGCAGCGGATGCCCTTCCGCCTCCGGGCGGCTTGGGTCAAACAGCCGAAGAGAGGAAGTTTGTGCTTCCTTCCCCTGGACAGAAGAAGTGAAGGCCTTAAAGGCTGTGCGGAATTCTTCCTTTTGTGGAATTGTTTCTGAACGCGCCGATCGCATGTCTTGCGCGTTGGAAAAACACAGTGTCTTTCAGGCTTGTTTGGATTTGGAAAGAAGCATGAGTGAAGCAGTTGAACAGACATGTTGCTGTGTGAGACTTGCTTGGTTAGGAGTGTGCGAGCTTGAAGGTCCCTTGAAGAGAAGCCCAAAAGAACTTCGATCTTCTAGGCAGTACCCTCAAAGATCCGAAATACCCTCAAGTCCGCGTTTAACTAGCCCGAAAGAACGTCGATCTTCTACGCAGTACCCTCAAAGATCCGAAATACCCTCAAGTCCGCGTTTAACTAGCCCGAAAGAACGTCGATCTTCTACGCAGTACCCTCAAAGATCCGAAATACCCTCAAGTCCGCGTTTAACTAGCCCGAAAGAACGTCGATCTTCTACGCAGTACCCTCAAAGATCCGAAATACCCTCAAGTGTGAACCTCAGAAACACCACGAACCCAAACCTCCTGAACATGAGTCATGACAGACCCCTGCCGGCCAGGAGTGCTTTGTTTTGCATGCCAGGAGAAGCATTGGATGTTTTCGCTTGCTTGGCGATCTATGTGATAGCAAGTCTCTTGGGGGGTTCGTTCTGGTTAGGATTTCGATTCTTGAAGATGTGTTTGAAAAGGTTTCGAGGAGTTGGTGACTACCCTCAACTTGTATCCCGAAAGTACCGTTTACACCATCGTCGTAAAGGAGTCCGAGTGCGAATCAAGACTCGTTTCTGTTATGTTCGAGTTGATGTAGAATGTACTCTGGCCTTTAGCAGGCACGTTGTGAAACCAACTTGGAGCTCAGGTTTTAAAGCCTCTTTGAAGTTTTCATGTAAGGCCACGTGCTTGGGCCTTTGTCTCGACAGGAACTTGTGGAGCTTGTTGGTGTGCGTGGCATGGTGTTGTGCTTGGAGGTTGTTGTTTGTTGAGAAGAAAGGGCGATGATGAAAAAGGGAGCAGATCCACTTCTGAGCACAGCCACTTGAGAGTTGTGCGTGGACTGCCCCTCCCCGGTAAGGGGACGCAAGCTGAGCCCTTAGAACTCGATAGTGACATGCCACGTTCTTCAGAGAGAGAAGAGAGAGGAGAAAAAGAGAGTCCGCTTCCGAAACCTCAAGCCCTGCAAGTCCAACAGTCGCAGAAAACGAGGCGGTTCACAACCTTCATGGAAAACCGGGCGGTTGCGACACAGGGACGATGTGGAGACGTAGTTTCCACGGCGCGAAATCTGCAAATTTTGATGGTGTTTGAAGCAGTTCCCAGGTGCTAGCTTCTAGAATATGCCAGAGTCACGCAGCAGTCACGCCAGAGTCACGGGCAAAATGGGGCGGTTCGAGCCCTTTCCTTTTTAAAATAAGAGAAGAGTCACGCCAGGATCACGCCAGGGTCACGCCAGAGTCACGGTACTTCGCGCCCGGGCAAAAACAGTAAAACACGGCTAAGCCCGGTCAAAAAAGCTTCTAAACTCAGTTCCATTCTCCCCCAAACCAAGCACCCTCTGGCTCCGGCTGGTAAAACGAGGCGGTTGCGACAAGAATTGCAACCGCCCTAGTAAACAAGGCGGTTGACGCGCAGGGAAGGTGCTGAACCACCTAAAACCCCGGAACCGCCTGGAGGTGCAGAAGTTTCAGATAGGATACCTCTGCGAAGTGTGGCTTTGCAAGTGCATAGATCCAGAGGTCATTTTCCCTATGATGTGAACTGTGAGGCCTGCACCTCGAGTAAAGGGAAGGTTCCTGCGAGACGCTTGCGAAGGCGTTTGCAACGCGAGGACCAGACGATAGGAATGGATTTCTACTACTTCGGTCGTCTTCGTGTGCTGCTTCTTGCACATTGTTCTTCGAACTATACCACGGCCATCCCGGCCATGAATTTGGATGATCCGGATCTGTTTTACAACATTGGACGAGTGATTCGCGAAATGGGTCTTGTGAATAAAATGGTCACAGTGAGATGTGATCAGGAGTCGGCTTTGATGTCTTTAGCCGAAAAATTGACTACCCGTACAGGTGATGTAGCTGTTTCTGGCGTCATTGTGGACGTCGTGCCCGGGTATCGCCCTCAGTCAAAAGGCGCTATTGAAAGACAAGTAGAAACTATGAAGCAGGGATTTTGGGCAGTGTGGTTAGACTTGGAGAGAGAAGTTGCGCGGAATTCCGCGCCGGAAGACTGGAACAAGAAGCTTCCGCTGGGAGGAATGCTCTGGCAAGCTTGTGTCCTTTACAGTGCCAGGTGCTACAACCTCTGGAGCTTTAGTCACCAGGACGTGACTACGCCCATTGACCGGCTGCACGAGGAGATTGTGCATCGTACGAGGACCCTGCCGTTTGGATGTCTTGTCTACGCTAAAGTAGGGGGCTCAAAAGCGCATCAACAGAAGTACAGGGGAAAGAAAACAGTGAAAGCTGTGTATCTAGGGCCTAAAGAGCCTAGAGGGGGCGGTGTCTTTGCTGCTCCAGTGGGTCAGACTGAGATCGATATCTTTCCTGTCTGTAGGGCCTTAGAAGGAGCGAAAGGTGAGCCTGTCTACGACGTAGGGGCCATACACGCTCTGTCTACTTCACAGCCTCTCGTTTTAGACCCAGTGGATCCTGAAAGGCCCATCATGTTTGAGCCACCACCTGATCCGGTGAAGTCAGAAGACCCTGACCCGGGGTTTGAAAACGAAGATGAAGAAATGGTACCAGATGATCCTGATCCTCTGAATGATATTCCGTCTTACGTGGAACCCACAGATGATGAGGGGGAAGGCGGACTTGGGTCACCGGAAATGCAGCCGGATGACCTGGAGGACATGGAAATTGACTGGCTAACTAACCATCTGTTAGAGTCTTTGTTCAAAGGACCGGACATTCTGGCCACGTCTAAAGAAGTAGCTGATTCGTTTACTCTCAAATTCGGAGGGAGTAAGATCAAGTGCCAAGTACCCCGAAACGCCGTCTCTGAGACATCAGGTGAACAGTTAGACCCTGAACTTTTGTATGCTTCGATGAAGTTGGAGCTTGAGGAACTCGAGTCTTTTGGAGTAGGAAAAGTGATCTCTGAAGCTGAGGCCCGTAAGTCGGCGCGAGAGAGCGGTCGGAGGGTTCTCACGAGCAGGTGGGTTAACACGATCAAACGTAAAAGTCTTTACCGTTCCCGCCTTGTTGTTAGAGATTACGCTTCAATGGGAGGCACGACGCTTTCAGAAGGCATCTACAGCCCGACTACGAGTTTAGAGGGTTTAAGGCTTCTTTTGGCGTTGCTTTGCAAGAAAGGCTCCGTGTTGAGCTGTGACGTGAGCGTAGCTTTCATGCACGCTGCAGTGTCAAGGCCAGAGTACGTAGAGCTCCCAAACAACGTGAGTATTGCGGACTCTTCTGTTCCCCAAAAGGCAGGAAACAAGAAGGTGTATCTTCGTCTTCACAAAGCGATGAACGGACTGAGATCGGCACCGCTTTCTTGGTATAAGGAACTGAGTTCGTACTTGGAGAAGAGCGGATTCAGTCCAAGCCTGGACCCTACGATATATCGGAGGAAGACGTCGAAGGGTCTGACGTTGGTACTGTTCTATGTAGACGATTTGCTGATCTACTCCGAGGACCCCTCGGAAGGGAAGAGAGTTTTCGAAGGACTGCAGAAACGCTACAAGCTGAAACTGACTGGAGAGCTTCCTGAAAATGGTGCGGGGGAAGTTTCCTTCCTAGGTAGGAGAATATTCCGACGTTCCGGAGACAAGCGCGTCTATTTCGGGCTAGATGGCAAGTACCTAGACGCGTGCTGCTCTGAATACAATATAACCAAACCGAGCCCCAAACTCCCGTCGCTTGAAAAGCGATACTCCGACCTGGTTCGTAAAGGGCAAACTGAAAAAATCAGCCCAGCTGCGCACGAAAAGTATCGTAGAACCCTTGGTCGGCTTGCATGGGCAGCCCTCTCCCGACCGGACCTGCAATTCTGCTGCGGGTTTTTGGGCCGGCACCAGTCGGCGCCAGACGAGGCTGCTGAGACGTGCATGAGAGACGTCCTTAAGTGGATAAAAGGGCTTCCGCACCGAGTACAGGTGTTTCCATCAACTCGGGAGATCCTGGAAGATGATGCGGATCCTCAGGCGGTTTCCTGTTTTACAGACGCCAGCTGGAGTTTGAATTCGGTTAGTGGTGGTGTGATTACTTGAGAAAACTGCTGTCTGAAGACTTTTAGCAGAAAACAATCAACCACAGCCCTGTCCAGCGCTGAGAGTGAGCTCGCGGCACTCACGGAGATAGCCAGGGAAGGTCTCTACATTGCCCTCTTGACAGAGACCATCTTGGAAGGCATTCCGCAGGACAGGGAGACCGGTTACTATCTCTTGAAGGGTTACTCTGACTCTGAAAGCGCGGTTTGTATCTCAAAAATGGGAACATTGCTGAGGAAAGTTCGCCATATAGAGTTAAGAGCCGCATTTCTCCAGGAACTTGTGGATCGTGGAAGGTTCACAATTGAGCACATACCGGGGGCCGTCAACCCCGCAGATGCTCTAACGAAAAGTCCCACGAATGACAGTTTGGTAAGCTTGTGTGAGGCTTGTGGTTTGATCACCGAGCCGGTTGGCTGGGAAGAGAAAGCTTCAGGCACTAGCGTTTCGGTTACCTTTAAAGAGCCCAATACCTGCGACGAAGTGCTCGCAATTCCGAGCTCGTGGAAGGACGAGGCCTACAGAGTTGCTTCTGGGGAGGCCAACATGGTTGTCTTGGAACTCTGTTGCGAAGAGGAAAGCGCGATAGCCCAAGCTTGTAAGCAGGAACGTGACATCGCGTACTTTGGAATCACCAAGAAGCTAGACTTGCTGAGTAGAGAAGCTTCTTTGTTACTGAAAGGGATTCTGGAGAAGATGGCTTCTAACGAAAGAATCTACGTGTATGCGCATTTGTCTACGCCGTGCAGCGCAGGTAGTGGCCTTAGGCACCTGCGTTTCTCAAAGGACGTGAAGAACCG